ATATATATATATATATATATATATATACTTTTACCAGTGTACAAATATTACATTTTAAATGATAAAGTTTTAAATTGAAAGATTGGCTTCCATACTACACCCAATAGTGTCGTAAATAGGCCAAAACTTTTTCAAATAATAAATAGGGTTTTTTTATTTGATTTCAAATAATGCATTTTTTGATAAATGCTCTAAAATTAATAGTCATGAAAAATCTATTTCGATTTTTGGTTCGGTATCATATGTACGATATGTATATTATTTAGTCTCTTGTTGAATTAGTCTTAAAATAGCTCGTTATTTGTATTCGCTAGTTAATGACCTTTAGATATACACACCTTTCATGTTTACTTGCTTTCAACTATAACAATTATTTATTACTGGTAATATTTGCTTGAATTTTTACTACTATTTAGCTATGCTTTTTAGCTCATTTGAACTTCATATTTTGCTTTGTCATCCCAAAATATTCTTTGCCTACCATAAACATTACTTCGGAGAACACTCATATTCATTTAGATCCTAGTCTTATTATAAAAGATCCAAATGCGATATTATATGCAGCCTCTCCACTTATTGACGATGTTAACGGAAATGGGATTCCAGATCTTTTTGCAGCAACTTTTGATGGAGCTCTCTTCGGACTTATAGACCTAAGCAGGGATTCTCATAATCTGCATGGATTTTGGCCCGTTTATTACCGTAAAGAGCATTTTTTTGCTTCGCCGTTATCCGTTAGTTAACTTTTATTCATTACATCACTTCTAGATCGACTTTATAGGGGACGGTACAAAATGCATTGTTTTTTGTAGTTATGATGGAACTATTTTAGTTTTTACTTATCTAGGAGAACTCATTAGTCGTATAAAAGTAAGACATATTTTATTTAGATATCCTGCTATATATATATATACATATATTTATATTATTCTACGTAATTCGTCTTCCATATATGTATATTTCCAAAAGTCATTTGATTTTTATCACTCACATTTATATTTTTTATCCTCAACTCAGGTGTACTTCTTTTTACTTACTCAGTTTATTAGTTATTCGTGCCCTGTTATTACAGATACCTCCTGTCTACTTGAACAAAGATTGGAGCAAGAACACTTCACTTGTCATTGGTGATGAAGCCACTGACTTCGTACTAACAGAGTTAGAACATTTTCACGTATTCAATTCATCTTCTAGCCTGGGCTCTTTCGATCAGGTGATTATCAAATTATTCAATAATATTTTTTAGGCATAGATTCTTGCTACATTTTACTGGTAAAGTTATGCCTTTTTGTTTGTGATAGTCCACTATCCTGACTTTATAGTACACTAATAATCATATTTATTTTCTGTGGATTTTCTTTTCGACTAGATCTAAATATATGATATGCTTAAAAGTATGAATAAAATATATATACTGGTGTGAGAATTATAGAACTACTATGATGAAATATTCTCCATATCGGTTTAAAATCCTGAAAAAATCATTAACCTTCAGGAAAGCCCGCATTGTTCTGGCTATTGTATACGTTTTATGCTAGCCATTAAATACTAAAGGTAGTTGGTTGCTGTTTTATCGGTTTGTTTCGCTCCCATAAATTCGAACTGCCTGTCTGAATAATGTCTTCGAACCTTATTTCAGAACAGAAACCCTTGGTACCCCTTAGTAAACATTTAATATAGTATTAATTCTCTCATCCAAAGTATTTCAGCCTAATGAACCATATAATGCAAACCCTTCATTTATTACAAATATGATATTCTCCACAGCATGGTTTTATTAACTTGAATGGATTGAATTTATTGTTGCGTTTTTATGAATATTTATTGGCTTTGACATAATTTTTCACTTTGAGGCCTACGATTTTCTGATAAGGGGTTTAGTGAAGACCTGATCATAAATAAACTGAGTTTAGAAGACTTGTCGTTTGTAATACTTGGCTTATGCTTTTGCCTTACATTAAATTTTAGATTTATTTACTTTTTAATTTTATAGTGGCAACAGCTTAACCCTCAAGTTTATTCGACACCGCTTGCTCTCACGGTTCCCTTGTCTGAAGCTATATCTGCTTCCAACCAACCCTGGCAATCAGACCATGACCAGATCATACTCGCAGTCACTTTTGGTCTTGGTCACGCTAAGCCACTGGAATACGATAACAGGTCCCCACAGAGCGTCGATAATCAGCCACTAGTTTCTGGTTTGGTATCGGTTGGACGGAAAACATTGTTGTCTGGCGACATTAGCACTCAAGCTGGACTCAAGCTCCAAATTCTGGAGATAACCTGGGTATGTGTAAGTTTCACATAATTTACGAAAATGTGTATTAAGAAAACGCTGCCGCCCAGCCTCTACAAACCTTATCCCCTTTTTAGTTTAAGTATAATTACAAAAATTATAAGAATAAATAATATCTATTCATTAATCTGGCTTCGATTCCTAAGCATGTGAAATTGTGGGTTGGATCTAGATACAGCATAAACATTGAATTCATTATCTGGATTCACCTTCATAGCGTCTTTTACCAGTGTAGTTCATATTCCAACAACCTGGCTTGAAGAAAAATTCTTTTAAAATAGGGATGTTCAGTACAGTCTCTCAAATGATATAAAACTGCTCAAACTATTATATGTGCTATATTCACTTTGTTTTCTTTAAACTGATGAACTTCTGATAATTGAAATTTTCTAAAATGATGAGTAGGCTCTACATCTATATCAATTCACTTAGCCTTGCTTCCTAATAGGTATTCTCATCCAGACAGGAGTGGAATGTAGGTTCGAACTCACCTAGGTCTAATTAGCACCTT